TGCCTATTTGCTGAGGGCTGCCTGTTTGCCTTGGCGCACACCTTGCTTCCACAGGGGCCAGAACAGAAGGAAACGGAGGCCAGGAGAAGAGACTTGCACAGCCTGCCGTGTCTCTAGTATGTATGCAGGACTAAGGGGCTCATCAGCCGTACTGCAGGACACTTGCGTTTCTGTGTCATGATTTAACAAGTGTCTGTCGGCAGATGGCTTGCCCTCACCACTGTCACTGTATTAGCTGCTGCGTTTCTGTCTCCACATTATTGCTATTAGTTTTTATTTTTTTAACGTAGATTTAAAAAACAGTTAATAGTTCCTGCATTCTATCATGGGATTGGCTCTGAAAAAGGTTTTGGAAGAAATATCTTCAAAGCCATTTGTGGAAATATTCAAGGACAGCTCCGTGACGTTTTTCTCTTGTAGTGCATGACAGCTGCTAGAAAGACTTCCCATTGGTGCCCCCCTGTCTTCTGTCCTTAGCTCACTCTCAGATTGGAGCCGGTTCTGCAAGCAGGACTCAGGCTCGAGGCTGGTGCTCTGAAGGCCAGGGAGCTCCGTGCTGCCATCTGGCGGCAAGTGTGAGACTTAGCAAGCTGCCTGTTGTCATCCTGTCTGAACTTGGCTGCGGCTGGAGCTGTGGTTTGGCTGCTGTCCTTATGGAGTTTTCTTGCCAGACATGTATATTTTTTTTCTTCTTTTTTACTCTCTATACCCCCCCTTTTGCTTTTTTGCATGTTGACAGCTTGTTAATGGTGCATCCCAAGGCTATGATATATGTGTGTGTGTGTACACACATGTACATACATACATGCATGCATGCATGCATACATACATACATACATATCATAGCCTTGGGAGGCATCATTATATATATTTGTGGATATTAAGGTGTCTGCCCCTATTTTATAAAAGGAGACATGAACCATGCAGGCCTTACTCCCCAACTGGCTGACCCTAGAAATGTCAAGCACAGAAACACGATGAGAAGGCCAAGAGCTGTGGATTTGTGCTCTTGCACGTTGATTAGGTCATGTTCTGACCTTTTTCTTGGGTGAATGTGGCATTTTGACGATTGTTTCTGTTTGCTTAGAATGGGTGATTTTTCCAACCCCACCTGGAATTTGTGGAAAACAGAGGGTGTCAGTCTTTCTTTCAGAGGTGTGAAGGCCTTGATATCTGATTGGACCTCCATTTCTCGTCACCTCCGAGCAGCTGGTGGCTGGAGATGGCCCATGACTCCGAGGCAGGTCCTTGGAGTGATTCTGCTCGAGGCAGAGGCTCACTTCACACATGGAAAGTTGTGAGGAGGACCCAGGCGGGGACGCTGTTTTCTTCCATTCTGTTTCCTGAATACCCATGGAGGTACCGAAGTGTCTGATTACACAGTGACTGCACGTCCAGGCTGTTAACGTGGCAGAGCCCTCTCAGTGTTCCAGGTCTCCCACTGTGTCTGCTGACCCTGGCCATGTGGCCGACCCTTCTTTACCTGTAAAATCAGGTTGAGGTGAAGTTTTGTGTAGAAGAACGCACTTACGGTTCTTACATAGCTCAGAGTCCAAAGAGATCAGAGAAAGTGCCCGTATGTGTGATTCAATAGCTCAAAGAGTTTGCTGAATTAAAACATGAGCTGAGCAAGTCTCAGCCTCTAGCCTCAGCTCTGGTTTGTAGTGGGGGTGAGACCTCCTGAAAGTGGGGCTTGTGTATGCCACGCCTCCACTCCTCGCCAGAGCCACTGGCTCCAGGATATGGGTTTTTGTGTCTTGTCCAAGTCCAGGAAACCAGGCAAGCAGTGTTAATTACCTGTGTCTGAACTTCCCATGTAGTTGTTAGAATCAATTAAGGGGACGAGGAAGCAGCTTCTCAAAAGTTGTCTTGCAGCTTTATTGTTTTGTTTTCCTCGAGGGCCTGGTATTCTAAGTTCATCTTCACATCCACACCAACCAGCTTCCGATCAGACTCCAGAAAAATAATCTGATCTGGCAGCTCCAACCTGACCCCTGACAGGACAGAGAAAATTCTAAGGGTAAACAGAAGAGAAATTTTATCTCCCTAAACATATACTTAAAGTTCAGGAATGAGTGTGTGTGTGTGTGTGTGTGTGTTTT